AAATCCTAAAAGATAATACCGATTATTACGGAAGCGACAATCTATCGACACCATTATAATCAATACATTATTATATTCTTTTTTTTTTTATGATATATAAATCGATATTTATATCATCACTGATTGGAAATGTTCATGATAACGTTGTATTAAAGGCGTCAAAAGTACCGCTTCAATAATACATCTAAATTTTTAACAAATGTGTGTACATGTATGTGAAAATCGAATGAAGTTTTTCGAAGAGAAAATAGCGATAGAGACAGAGGGAGACAGAGAGAGAGAGAGAGAGAGAGAGAGAGAGAGAGAGAGAGAGAGAGAGAATAAACGCATTAAATGTGTACGTGTACATTCTTCATATATCTATATATCTATATTTTTATTTATATATGTATATAGGCGAATTAATCACACAGAAGCGTGAATCTTCAACAAAGAAGATTACGTCGTCTGGGATTATACCGTCTTTGCCCCCATTTTCCCATCTACATGTTAAGAGACGCACGCAAAGATAATGTCCCAGTCCTACGTGACGTTCCGACGATGAGTCTTCTTCCTTCATTTAATAATATTTTTAACAAGTATATGTACAGAATAGAAAAAACAGTTGTTTTCTTCTCGTTATGTTGTCAAAAGCGGTGCAAATTTTTTTCTTGGTAAAAATTGCAGCGAAAGTTTTTTTTTTCTTTTTCTTTTTCATTTTCATTTCTTCTCCTCTTTCCTTTCCAAGCAAATAATAAACGAAAATTCATGCACTTTCTACCAATTATTACCACGTCCCCGACCTCTGAAACCATTTCCCCTAAATTGTCCACCGCGTTTCAATCCTCTGGGCATAAAATTACCAATTACAGGGCCACGAGGACCTCTATCCATCCAAGGAGCTCTGGGACCACCTCTGAATCCTCTACCCCTTGGTAGACCCCCTCTCCATGGGGGAAATGGGACAGGACCGCTAAGTCGTGGTCGAAAATTCGGCCCTTCAAAATCGTATATCCCCGGATGTGACTCCGCCGATACTTGCGGTATAGGCCCGTTCAAACCTGCATCAGTCTCGGTCGGAGTCTGAGGACCATTAGATAAAAGTCTCTTCTTACTAGAGCTAACATCATTGTCATCAAAGTTGCCATTTGTCGACGGTCTCTTCAATTCGTTACTTGGCATTGAGTTTCCAAGGTCGTCCAATTGATCCGATATATGTTGTTGTTGCTGTTGAGACTGATCGAAGTTAATATCTTGTTCGGCATTTTCAATCGATCCGCTACTCTCGCAAGTTTTCTCCGATATCATAGCTTCCGTTTCAACGTGTTCCTCATATTCAGAAATAGACACGTATTGATTATGCTGCGAGTCTTTAGAATCCGTTATTACGGGTACAACAGTCACTTGGTTCATTGTTGATTGTTGTTCGTCCGATTCCGCAACCGGTGGCTCAGATTCATGTTCATGAACAAGATTCGAACCACTTGAATAAATGGATTGCTGGTCAAGATCCCGTGAATTTGGCGTGCCATGTGACAATCTACGATCTTGACAATTTTCTTCTTGTTCCGTATCCACAGGATGTTCTACATTTGCTGCTATTTCCTTCTCATTAGGTAATCCTATAGGCATACCCTCTTCGTCGATTATGACAACTGTATCCGGTGCTGGTACTAACAGAGGTCTACTATTGGGTAAAATTTCTGGCGAAGATCTTTGATGTTCTTGGGTTCTAGATTTACGATTGTTCTGAATGTTTCTCGGTTTATGGTCATCCGAGTATCTATCCCGTCTATTTCTCGCAAATCCACGGCCACCACGACCCCCTCGGTCATTCCGATGAAAACCAATATCTCGATGTTGATGATCGACTGGTTGAGAGTACCTCCCACGCATTTGTGGTTCGCCAAGAAATTCTTGATTAGGTCGTAAAGCGTGATTCTCACGATATTCAAATTCTTGTTTTGGAAATTCTGGTTGCATTTGATGAAATTCTTGTTGACCAAAATCTGGCTGATTTTGAATGAAATTTGGCGGTGGTCTATTCTGATGGAAATTTGTTTGAGCTGGATGGAATTCTGCCGCGGAATTATGTCGAAAATCTGTTTGATCTTGATGAAAAGATGGTTGACCTGGATGAAATTGTGGCGGTGGAGGTGGAGGTGGTGGAGGTCCTGAATGCATCATATGTACATCTTGCATAATTTGTCCATGCGATCCTGGCATTTGGCCTGCGGGAAGCGGAATCATTCGCATATCCATATCCATGTGTTGCGAAGATGCTGATGGATTACCGACTCTCATGTCCCTATCTTGCGATCGCACGTCAACCAATACCCTTCCTTTTGGCTTACTGTCAGTTTCATCATCCGACATTTCCATGTCAACACTTTCCACGATATCGCCCGGTTGCATGTGTTGCCTGATTACGCATATTATATACGCATTATATTGAGATTGTTACGACGAAAAAAAAAAAAATTGCTACGATATAATCCTACGAGATTCTAGTAATTAAAAGTTTTATTGTCTTACCGGTAATCTTGATCGCTGGTAGACCACAAGTTGTTACTATTCGATATCACATTCATAGAAGTATCGTTAACATTATGATTTGCTGGACTTCCTGTTAAGCTAATTAAATTACGATGGTCAACATCCGCTGCTTTCATTAAACGATATGGTAATTGATTTTCCACTGTCATTGGAATTGGTATTACCCTAAAGAAGATGTTATGTTTTTCTTTCTTTCTTTCTTTCTTTCTTTTTTTTTTTTTTTTCTTAAAA